TTGGGAACACAGTAGAGATAAGACAGGGAATGGCTCTCAACGGATATCTACCTGGAAGCTAATAGAATAGAGTAGGGGAGGATGGTGAAATAGAAGGTAACTCAATGCAGAGATGGACAACAGAAGGAGAAACTAAGTTCAGTGTACACTGCACTGAATAAAGAAGTGATAAGGGTGCTCGGGAAGACAATAGACTATTTCACGACACACTATCAACTGAAGCAGGAAAAGCCGCGGTTAATCGGACCTCAGAAACTCTTATTGGATAACCAGATCATTATTCCGAAAGATAGATAAGACCAATAAAAGGTGGTCAAAGGAACCTAATTACAGTAGACGACAGACTAATACAACAATGGGTAGAAAACTTCAAAGGACAGACGGCCACCTGCATCATATCCACAAATTTTTTTTAATATTTTTGATTATAGCTTGATTCCACACTGTATATTTGGTACAAGTATGGAATTTTCAGCATGGATATCGGTAGCCCAAAATTCGCAGGCCGACCATAGATATCAGGTGTGCGCCGGCAGGGGGTCGAACCTCGGACCATGTGCATGGTCGGCGAGAGTCCTAACCACTGTGCCACCGACGCTTCGTTCGCAGACGTTCCGACCGTCTGGGTGCTACATCCTCTAGTTGAGGATTGTTACTGACCGGCTTGTCCCACTGTGCCCATCGTTGCGGCTGACTGGCGTTAACTCGTTTCTGTTTGTCACCTCTTCGGATGGTATATATACTTGACCCCGTCTTAATGTGATTGTGTATGGTCCTTCGCACTTTGGAAAGAGTTCCTGTGAACCTGGCCCGCAACCAACTGTATATCTTCTGTCTCTACACTTCACTTGGTCCCCAACTGCAAAGGTAATGCACTGAGTCTTTCCTTTCAGCTGATTTGGTGATCGGAGGGAGCATGTATAAGCACAAGAATACATACAAGGCCAGCGACATGGATTTCGCCTGACAGACACACTGAAACCAGATAGACTTCATCTGAATGTTGCTCCAGAAAGTAAAGACGCAGCCAATCTGCCGGATACAAAGTCGAAAAGAGGAGCAGATGCGGGCTCAGACCATCATCATATTGTTCAAGGAACCTTCAAAGTGAGGCTGAAATCCATGAAAACAAATGGAGACAGACCACTGTAATCCAAGTTGAACATTCTGAAACTAAAGGAGGAAACTACAAGGGATACCTACCTTCACTGCAGATGAGATCAGAGCAGGGTCGAAGACACTATGTGATGTCACTGAGGAAACCTGTGTGAAAGGAAGAACATTGGAACTAGCTCTCTGCAGGTGATTATCAAGGAGGTGTGTACAACTGTTTTGGGAACACAGTAGAGATAAGACAGGGAATGGCTCTCAACGGATATCTACCTGGAAGCTAATAGAATAGAGTAGGGGAGGATGGTGAAATAGAAGGTAACTCAATGCAGAGATGGACAACAGAAGGAGAAACTAAGTTCAGTGTACACTGCACTGAATAAAGAAGTGATAAGGGTGCTCGGGAAGACAATAGACTATTTCACGACACACTATCAACTGAAGCAGGAAAAGCCGCGGTTAATCGGACCTCAGAAACTCTTATTGGATAACCAGATCATTATTCCGGAAGAGATCAACATAGATAAGACCAATAAAAGGTGGTCAAAGGAACCTAATTACAGTAGACGACAGACTAATACAACAATGGGTAGAAAACTTCAAAGGACAGACGGCCACCTGCATCATATCCACAAATTTTTTTTAATATTTTTGATTATAGCTTGATTCCACACTGTATATTTGGTACAAGTATGGAATTTTCAGCATGGATATCGGTAGCCCAAAATTCGCAGGCCGACCATAGATATCAGGTGTGCGCCGGCAGGGGGTCGAACCTCGGACCATGTGCATGGTCGGCGAGAGTCCTAACCACTGTGCCACCGACGCACAATATCGCCAACAGCACTCACAGAACTGGTGGTAAAAACAAACACTCCAACGAAAGCAAAAATCTTGAATGCAATCAAGCTACTAATAACCAAATTTTAAGGCAGCAAAAATGAAAAAAATTCCTCATGAAGAACTGAAAACGGATCCAGAGACTGCAGCGGATGTGCTCATGCCATTACTAAAGACACTCTGGAAGCAAAGAAAGATGCCTACTGATTGGAAGGAAGGCTAGATTGTTAAGCCACCAAAGAAGGGTGACTCACTTCTCACTCTGAAGGAACTGGTGTGGAATAATGCTCTTGTCCACGTTAAGTAAAACACTATGTCAAATCATCCTGGAGAGGATAAAGGATGCACTAGATACAAAACTCCGCCGAGAAAAAGCTGGACTCAGGAAAGGCACATCATGTGCTGATCAAAATGCACTTCTGCACACCGTTATCACGGGACAAATCATAGAATGGCAGTCAAGTATCTACCTCAACTTTATTGACTTCGAAAAGGCCTTCGACAGAGTTGACCTTACCGAGATGTAATTTGGAAAATACTTCTACACTACGGGGTGCAGTACCAAATTTTTTATCAACTTCATTTAACCGCTGCCTATATGACGGTGGCATATATCAGGTGATCCGCAACGGAAAACTCAGCGAAGCTTTTGGAGTGAACACAGGAGTAAAACAAACCTGGCTGCCTATTATCACCAACGATGACATTTCTAATTTTGTTGAACTGGACTATGCGGCAGACTGTACGTTGCAAGGGTGAGAAGACAGTGGTACACTGGCCCACCGATAAAAAGACTCTAGAAGATGTGGATTTCGCAAGTGGATGATATATGTCTAATGTCACACAAACTCGAAGACTTACAGGTAGGTGAAAACCTACAAACTGACTGAAGAGGCAGTAAAAGAAGACAGGAATCCAGATGAACATAGAGAAGGTGGAGACAGAGGTGATGAAGATAACCAATTGACAACAACTACAACCGACATCAATTTAGTAGAGGTTACTTCTTTCGCTTATCCGGCTAAGAAGCACAGTTTCAACCACAGGCGGAATGGATGAAAATATCAAAGCCAGCCAAGCATAATCGGAAAGGCAAAATACCCACTCTTTCATCAGTCTGACACCAGTTAGGAAATCTTCTGCACTCAGCATCACAACGAAAACAATTTGGATTTCCAAAACAAATGCGAAGTCACTCAGTCACTTCTTCTATATGGGTCAGACACTTGGCCAGTGTGTCACGTAAAGGATTTCCAAAAATTTAGGAACTTTTGTCAGCAATTGTCACCTTCGCTGACTGGCTCCAAACTGAAGACCAAGTGGCAAGCCTGCCGGCCAGAAAGAACCAGCAACAGTAAACTCTCGCTGGCTTGCTGGTGACAAACCAACCAAGAGCCGATCGCTCAACAAATATGTAGGAGGAAATAGAGATGGATTGATCGAGAATATGTTAAAGAGGCCATCGAATGTCATCGCGCTCGATGCAGTCTGTCGATCGAGTGGAATATGAATGGGAAGCGATGAGTGGGTCTTCGGTGCGAGGGTGACATGCGGCAGATCATGCGAGTTGGAGGAGTAGGTGAGAGATTATGTTAATCGTAGAGCCAGCTGAAGAGGAGAGCAGAAAATGGAAAAAAAGTGGAGATGTGTTGCTGAAGCCCTATGTTCCACTCAGAACCCAAAGGAATAATAATAACAATACTTTGGGACTAAATCGTAGTGCGACGTTGACCGCTTAACTAGCTTGGGATCGTGCACGAACGAACGAACGCAACATGACGGCGTTCCAAATGACATGGATGTTTGACATTGAGTCTTCAGCTGAATAAGTCGGCTTAAACACTGAGGATCAGCGTCCAATGTTGAGTGATCAATGCTCTGGCTAATAATTCTGGTGAATCATCTGCCGCTACAAGTTCGTGGGAATGATTTGAATATTTAATAGAATTAGTAGCCTCCCTCTCATATCCAATCTTATCATATTGACCGGACACATTTAAAGCTATCATTTGTTAATATCTGGTCTTTCGACAAATCGAATACGGTATTCATCCATTTACGCATATATGCATTCCAATATGTTGTGATCTAAAGCTCTTTTTACTTGTTTGGCTAATTTGGAAAGCAAAAGAGGAGTGGTTTTGAAGACACAGCGTAATTCAGCAGCAGGGAATGCTCTTTTTACCGCGTTCGGAAGTAAAAGATAAACTGCCTAATTTCGCCTCTCCCATGTGTATCTACCGATTTAACTGCTCCTGTGGAGTGAGCCAGTTACATAGGCAGTACAATTAGGCGTGTTTCTCGTCGTATTTCCGAACATCACCCTGTATGGTTAACTAAAAGACAAACAAAATCTATTCACATGGCGCTATTCTATCTCATCTTGTGGATACAGAACACAAGATTGATGTTAACCATGCTTTCGAAGTCATTCACCGCATACCTACGAATCTTAACTTCCGCCTTAAGATTTAGACTATTAAATATTTCTGAGGCTGGCTGTTGTTATCCACATTAACAAGCCTAATTTGTTCATCCAAAAGAAGTTAGTTCAGACATTATCCTTACCTTGGCCATCTAGGGTTGAATGATCCTCAATTTTTGTGGAATTTCCTTAATTTTAGTTGATATTCTCTTCGCTACTATATCTTTCTTCTTCTTCTTCTTATTATTATTATTATACTTTAAGCATCTTTAGTGAACTGTAATTGCATTGTGATCATACCTTACAAATCGATATTATTTTAAAAAAATACTAATATTGCTATTGACTACTATTCTAGAATATTCTATGTATATAAACATATATAACTATTATTGTAGAGCCAGAAGAGCAGGAAATTATCGAAAAGGATATTCTTTGCTGTCTCAATTATTTTGTGTTCTATAGATGTCTGAATGAATATTTTCGCTATATTAAAGCACTCTTGTCCATTAACATGTCAAAGTATTATTTATTGTGGTGATTCAAACGCCCCACCTCTATGAAGTATTCATAAACAATGAATACAATTCAAAACTGAAAAAAAAAGATCAACACGCGAATAATATCCAAGTTATCATTATATATTTATCCTTATTGATAAAGAACTTGAACAGAATAATATAGACAAAGTGAGTGTATTCACAGAATTCATTTGCTAAGCACACTGTTATTAGTGAAAAAGCACTCGTAAGTATATGAAAGATTCAGATATCTCAAAATGAGTACTTCAGTGTTTCAAAAAAGTTATCAAGTAATCACATTACCTATTAAAGAATGCATTGAAAATGGTGTAAATTAGCTGTGGTGTTCTTCTACTATTATATATGTATATATAACTGCACTAAACAATAAAATGTTTTCCCCGAATATACGTGTCTGTTGTCATATTCGACTGGCCAATATTATCCAACCGACGCCTACATTGATTGCATCTTTTATACTTGTCTGTTTGCTCTAACAACAAAAGCCCTTGATAACTTTGATCTCTGAGTTTCTCATGTAATTCCTTGTCATGTTTCAGTTGAGCAGCCTTCAACCATTCATTTTCTAAGTATTGACGCATAGCCTTTTGTTCTTGTCTCTGTTGCAATTTTTCTGTAACCAAGCTGGAAATGAAAGATATATACTTATTACGCTAACTGGGGGGGGGGCGCGAAAATGATATAATATTTGATCATCATCAATAGAAAATCAATCTAATGTGTGCCTATGAACAGCTCGGGATGAAAGTAAATGAAGCTTCTGCTGCTTTTGTATTCGATCATCAGAGTTAACTGTGAGGTATAAAACTTGAGCACTGTGGTACAGTATAATTCCATTATGGATAGGATTTGATTTTGATAAATCACACAGTGTTGTTATACAGTGATATTAACTGATGACCACGTTTTGAGCATAAATTATTGTTGCTCATAATCATATCTGCCAATTAATGACATAGCGCGACCACTCGCCAATGTCTTCGGCAAGTGTTTGTCCTCACACCCTACTGGTCACGACTTCTCACTATAACCACCTACCTGAATAGGGCAAGTCGCTAGTGAGCATCTCATTGATAGAATTTTCTAAGCGTGTTTGGATAGCTTAATAGGGAGACAAAAACCATTAGCCCGCCATACGTCTTCAGAAATTTGTTGTAAAGACTGTTAAGGTAATGATATATTATATAAATATCAAACATCGTCCAGCTTTTCAATAAATCATTTCATCACTGGCTTGTTTTGATGTCTAGATAGAATATCGTGATGCACGACCTACACATGTTCTTATGCTCTCTAATAGTACACAAGTGTACTGATTACTTTAGATGGGGGGGGGCGGGGGTACTTTCAAGACGAAAGCGTTCAAGCTGTTGTCCTACTGAAAACTTTAACATTATAACTGGCTGGATTTTAATTTAAGTCATTGCACTTGGTGGTGTGACCACTTGGTGGTCCATTTCACTTGGTTAATAGAAAAGTGCGATTTGACTAGCAGTCAAGTGGGGTACTGAATTACTGGATCAGAAGCCTGTCTCTTTTTTGAATTGGAAAAACTCGAAACTAGTTCTAATATAACATCAACTCAACAGAACCTTCGCCAAATGTTATTCTTCTACCTTATACGACACGACCACTATTTGATAGGTTTGTGTCTTCATGACTTCTCCAGATGTATGCAGTAGATTCAATAATATTATCTTTTTTATAAATCCTAAGCAACTGTTTCAATCATCCGGTACACTTTGTAGAATATTTTGCCTAAGGTTTCCGAGGTTCCTTCCTTGTATGGAATTACTACTGATGACTTAGATTCCATATTGTTGGTGTTGTCTTGCGAACATTTGACTGGCATGTCGTCATTATTATTACTATTATTATTGTTATTGTCACTATCACTACTATCATTATTTATTTTTACATTTCCCTACATACTTTCTGATTAATTTATCAGGGTAATTATAATAGAAGCCTTGAAACTTAATAATTAACCTGACAAATTACACCTTTGACCTAATTCCCTCACCGGATATAATTTCTTTATAAAACCATATATATACGATTGTACAGCTTGATAATAAATTCGTTGAAAAGGGTCTCTTCGCTGAAAATTGTGTTCTTAATGCTACAATGGGAATTATTAAATTATAGTAGTGATAGTGACAATAATAATAATAGTAATAATAATGACGACATGCAAGTCAAATATGCGCAAGACAACACCAACAATATGGAATCTAAGTCATCAGTAGTAATTCCGTACAAAGAAGGAACCTCAGGGACCTTATGCAGAATTCTGGACAAGGCAGGAATAAAAGTGGCTGGCATTCAAACCAACCAAAAACTCAATTAGAAACAAGCCTTGTCGGTTAAAGGATCAATCCTGTGGAGCCTTTAAAACAAAACAATTTAGTTTATCTAATACCCTACTGGGATGATTGTCAGGTCAAATACATAGGTCAAAGTAGTAGAACAGGGGAAGTCAGCATAGCCGAGCATGGAAATCTAGCAGTAAAATCTAGATTGGTTGACCCGAATAAGATAAGAAATCTGGACTATAGTTCAGCTGCAGCACTCACTGCATGCAATAACACACAACCATACAATAGGATGGATGGAGTAAGATGACAGTTTTAAAATCTAATCTAATGTCACAAGGTGTAGGGAGGGAGAGATTTATAACAGAAGCTTTGTTTATCGAATCAACTGCAAACACGTGTAATAGGAATGATTCAACACCTGTGTGTTCCGAAATCTGGAAAATTCTACTACGCCGACGACGGCAAATAGGAGAAGACAAAGAAAACTATAAAACTGAAGTTTCGTAGTCGTGTGATTATAAGTGGCGATATGATTATGAACAATAAATTTTGTTCAAAACCTCGTCATCCAGTAAATAATACCGTTTCACTCACTGTGTGATACATCTAATAAACAAACTAATATGGAATTTCAGAAGTCTGAAGACTAACAGTAGGAACTCACTCATCATGTACACGCTTTAATACTTTTTCTTCTTGTTCCTTTTCATAAAGCTGTTCATTTTTCATTTGGTTTTTCGACTCTTCGATAGACTTCAACTGGTGTTTTTGAATCGATTTTGCAATATGACTACGCTCAACTAATTTCTTATCATTTTCCTCAAACATTTTAAACATCATTCCCAGGGAGTTATTCACCGATTTGGGTATATGTTCAGGCTTACATTTCACCTAGAACACACAAGTAGTGTACACAAATGTGAAAAACTGTTAAGCAGAACTTGCAAATCCAATGAATATATAAAGCGTTTAAAATGTAGACAGAAGTTATCAATACAGCTGACCCAAAATATCTCAAGACTAATTATTGCAGATACTAGCAAACGCAGTCAACTCCTCTTAGGTTTCTGTTCAAAGAGAATTCAAATGCTCTCAAACTCATCAAAATTGTTCTGCTTTTCTAAGGTGATGCAAGTAAATTAGAAATTAGCTTCCTTAATATTGTTAGAACGTATTGTTATTATGCCCCAGACAACTAGCCACACTTACTGTTTGTATGGTCTGATTATACTTACAAGTTATGCACACTGAGGTAGATGAACACTATTCACTTCTATTAATGCCATTCCACATATTGTCTTCAGTGTGATATTCAGGGTTAGTAAGTTTTCGTGGAACGCATCATTTTGTTAAGATTGTGCCATTTCACCGCTAAGTATTTCAGTCTAAAAGACAAATTCCTCTTATACGGAAAGCGTTTCCAACAACCTGCTGAAGGCTATTACCAGTGGCTGCCTTTGCTGATTTCTTACTGAGGACCAAATTGCCAGAAAGAATTAGCAATAAAAACTCTGGGAACAAAGTAATTAAGAATCTGTTGCCCAAGAAATAAGCCAGAAACATGCTGAGCAGACCATTGTGTGATATCGCGTCCCAAACCCTCGAGTAGAATCCGGATGGGAAATAACGAATCGAGTGTACGACGCTGACATGCAGCAGATCGTGTGAGAAGAGAGATGAGAGACTGTGGGCAACCGTGATGCCTGCTAAAGAGGACTACAGAGAACAGGACGAGGTGAAGATGTGCAGTAGAAGGCCTATGTTGTAAACGGAACCCAAGTGAATATATATATATATATATATATATATATATATATATATATATATATATATAGAACATACTGCTTGAATATTACTATTTAAATGATCTTAGTCTTCAAAATTACCAAGATTTACCAGGAGAGGTTTTGTATATATCCAAACCAAGTTCACTTTTAACAGTTTGAAAAAATTTGGGCATTGGGTATATGATATTCATTATAATAAAGGTTTTCTTGTATTTCCCAATGAATGAATGAAAAACAAAACGATATCGTTGTTTTTACTGAAGTTTCGCTATTCAATGCTGCTGGTAAAAGCTTTATCGAAGTAGTAATATTAAACCAGAATTTACAAAATCCACTCAGCTGATATATAACAACTTATTCATCGTTCCTCAGCATTGGGTCATTTTCACGTTGTCAAATTGGCCAATTGGCAAAGATAAGAAAACCAGGTGAAGACGACTGTTGCATAAGTATGTAAAATTGTAGTTATAGAAGCAGCGTGTGTTTACATAATGAAATTGCTTATCACATTCGTGTTGAATTTGTCATTTAATGAGGGAGCAGTGACTTGTTGTAACCTGGTCAAATTCTGTTTTAGTCCATCATTCCTATTCCGGAAATTTGGATTCCACTTGATATGAAGTTCTTCTGATGATATGAGACGTTCTCTGTGATTTCTAAAATGCTTTTTCTGGATTATTTCAATATTGGTAGAAGTTAGAATTCACAAGCCATTGAATCGGATCCCAGTGGCTGAATGGTATACTAGCTTGCCTTGTAACCGGAAGGTCCTGGGTTCGAATCCCAGTGGGTGCGTACTGGCGATGATTCCCGAACTAGGATGAAACAGCAGCTGTTCAGTACTCCCTGGTTTTCAATGGTTCTTTAACTGATATCAATCCGTGATCAACTCGTAAAAATATTGTCAAAATCAATTTTGTGGTCTGATTTTATAGCGTGTAGACAAGCTATGTACTGGCTGATGATTTTTCAAACTTTTCAAGTTCAACCGGATTTCTCGGTGGTCGAACAGATGCTCTACAGTGTTCATTTCTTCTGATTTTGATTTCTCGCGATGTTTGTCCGATCACATTTCAGGTATTTTATTTTATAGACACGATCATATAGAGAATCTTTAGGGATATTGTCTTTTTTTCGCAGTGTGTCTGATATTTTGAAGAAAACTTTAATGTCAAGCTTACAGGGTACTCTTTCGATATCATCTAATGTTTCTGCTGTATATGGAATGACAACTGTTGAGGTCCATGTTTTCGGAATATGTTTTTGACCATACTTAATGTCAGTGTTGATTTTGTTGATGAAGTTCGTTGGGTAGATATTTTGCTTGAGAGTCTCAGTAATGTTTGATATTTCTTCTTCTCATCCGTTATCAAGGAGTGCACCCGTCTGAGAAAACGTGAAACAACTGATACCTTTGCGCTGATAGGGTATAATGATCCAAAGTCTAAATATTTGTTGTTGAAGTGAGTTTTCTTCCTGAATATAGATATACTAAAATGTCAGTAATCCCTCCTCTTTACTAGGCAGTCTAGAAGTGTTATTTCACCGATGTCTGATTCCGCTTCTGAAGTAAACTGGATTCTCGGAGACAGATTTGTTCATTTTCATCACTTTCACCGGTTTCCTCAACAGTCGCTGACCTTTTCATGAAAAGATTCGAAGATAACTCAAAAGCACTTTGTGAAATGGGTTAAAGGATTTATCTACTACCAAACGCTGAATATTATTAATCTTACGAGTTCACATAACATGAGTTGCTTAAAGATTTCAGTTATATAAAGAGTGAATCTGTCATCTAAAAATTACAATAACCAATCTGGATGAAGAATAATTTCTCCTCTTCAGGTTCTTACAATTATAAAATATAAAATCTGTTGAGAGCCAGTCATGCGGTGAATACATTTTCGTTAACGTATAATAACAGATTAGTTATGGGGTGTCAAAATAAATAGTCGTATTTGTGTGACAAACGTGCTAGGCTGAAATCGATTACAAAATATTTCGGTGAAATGGGAGACAATAGTGATGATTAGTCATAATAGATTTGTAGAGTGTGGGGTAGGAAAATTGACAAATCAGGTTAAGGTTATAAAAGGTGTCAGGTGAGTGGCTAGTACAAGGTGGTAGGCGTTAAACAGGAGACAGTAAGACTGCAATCCGAGGTTCATAATGAAGTAACCGGTAAGTGAAATGAAACAGGTGGAGGCATATATGGAGAAGAGAGATTATATCACTAATATAAGTCCGGATATTGTAAATGGAAAATTCGATAGTATGGAGAGCGAGGCATAAATTATGACGAATAATAATAATAATTGTAATGATAAGCAAAGAGAAAAAAACCAAGAGGGTTAAGGGGAAGGAGCACTCTTGGTGAGAAGAAGAATCATCAATCCAAGATTCGCCACGATAGAAACAGTATCTGGACGTGTTCTTTTTGGATACAAAGTTCCAGTTTAGTCGATCGTATTGCATCAACTTCAGCTATGTGTAGGAGATGTAAGCTAACTGTCTGTGATAACAACTTCGAAATTTGGTATATAACCCTGAAAGCTGTGTTGACATCGATGCGATTTATTTTGACCCTCGATAACTAACCTGTTATTCTACATTAACGAAAATGTATCCACCGCATAACTGGCTGTCATTATTGTAACGACCATAAATATTTTATTTTATAATTGTAATAACCTGAAGTGGGGGAATTATTGAAGGGAATATTCTTCGTTCCGATTGACTTTTAATTCATGATATGGGGATATTTCACACTATTAAATAATAATAATAATTATAAGTGAACAGTAGACCTTAGAAGATATTTCATTCATTGTACTAATGAATTAACCTGATCCTGCGTGGTTAAGCAAAGGACAAACAAAATCTATACTCAGGGCTATTTTATCTTATCTTGTGGATACAGAACACAAGATTGACGTTAATCATGCTTTCAGGGCCATTTACCGCATACCAACACATCTCAACTTTGCCTTAAGAGTTCGACTACTAAATACTGCTGAGCCAGTCTGTTCGGATCCATATTAACAAGCCTAATTTATGCGTCTAAAAGAAGTTAGTTCAAACATTGTCCTTACCTTGGACATCTAGGTTTGAATGATCCTCAATTTTTGTGAAATTTTCCTAATTTTTAGTTGATATTCTAATTTCTATTATACCTATATTATTATTATTATTATCATAGTTTAGGCATCTTTAATGAACTGTAATTCCTTTGTGATCGTACTTAACAAATCAATATTATTTAAAAAACATCAATATTGTTATTAACTACTATTATATATATATATATATAATTGTAGAGTCAGAAGAAGAGGAAATTATCGAAAAGGATATTCTTTGCTCAGTTATTTTGTGTTTGATATAACTTATCTGGTTATCCAACACTATTGTTGCGATTCTTGTTTCCATCCTCATTGTTTTGTACATAATAATAAGTAATTGAGATACATTCACTTGCAAAGCTAAATAGTTAGTTAGTCTACAGAACACTATCTGAAGGCAACTTTTAGCTTCTGTTGCAAACTGAAAATCGATTCCTTTGTCTTATATACTTGAAAACCAAAAAGAGAATACTATTTATATTTGATATTCACATATTAACGGAGTATAGAAAAAAAGAAGAATAGACCCTGAGACCTTTTTGTTTTCACTACTTATCTCCATTGGTATAAAAGTCATTTAAAAGAGACCGGAACAATAGTATTATTCACATGATACGTTTTTGTACTTTAATTCATAAAAATTAATTCTCTACAATATTCTTAATTAGCTTTCAGCAAAAATAACCAACTAATTTATTTGCTAACAGACTCTCGTAAATGTGCCCACAAGTTTCAAAGTGTTATCATACACGAAATGTTCACACAAAAGTTAAAAGGAAAATGTAGAAATAGCATCAAGCGGCCTAAATAGATAAAAGTATGATTACATTTTGTATTTGTCCACGTATCAGCCTTGTTTTCACCTAATATATCCCTACTGCAGCTATACTACACCTTACCAATATCCCTTCTGCTATACGCATAGGATGATCAGGTTTCAAAATGAATACAGAAGGCATTTCCTGCAGCAACTCTAAGAGTGATATTCTCTAGCCGCCCACTACTTCGGAGCAACGGGAAGGACAGACTTCCCATATGAAAACTTCACCTGCTCGTGCGGAGCTAGGTACATAGGTCGTTCTATGCAGGTCTTATCAAAACGTGTTAGAGAACATTATCAAGTATGGCTGCAAAGAGGAAGCACTGGTTCAATCAGAAGAGTCATAACTGAGCACCTAATGAATACCTATCACAGCATCTCAACTGACTCATCATTCACAGTCATTTACAAAGTGGACAAAAATCTATCAAAAATACAGTGTGTTTCCGACTTCTTTGTACTGCGGAAGCTCTCACCATATGCATCGAAAAGACGGAGCTGTGTGTTCAAAAGAAACTAGTCCAGCCTTTACAACTACCTTGGACCTACTTCTATATGTCCCCTTATCCTTCAGTTCTTTTTGTTTTGTTCTCTGTGTGTGTATTTTTCTCTCTTTGTCTTCATTCAATTCATCACATCTTCATTTAAGATATAAAATCAGTTATTTCAAGATTGTTTCCATGCTCCTCCTGATCACACTTGTAATCCGTTTAGAATAACCATTTTACAGTTATATTGTAATCCTGTGTAACTTTTTGTTTCTATGCCTCTTGTAATCTGTCTACATTCACAACTTCTAACTTACATTTCAAGTTGAAAATTTTCATTTCAATTTATTTCCATGCTCATTTTGTTCACATCTATAATTCGTTCTATCCCTGCGTAATTTTTGTCTCTAAGCCTCTTGTAATTCATATCAAGTTGGAAATAATTGTCACCTTTTATTCGCCTTTAAAACTATTATTTCTTCAGTTATCAAATATTAATTTTTCATATGTTGTAACTGTTTTCTAATCCAATGTAATCTTGTCTCTAAGTCCCTTGTAATCTATATTCGTACCTTCAAACTTTCATATCAAGTTGAAAATTATTATCTCCTTCGTTACCATGTGGAATTAATTAAACAAATAATAACTGTATCCATGTAAACTAATCCATATAAATGCAGTTGTACAGCTTTTGAGACTGAAATTGCCGAAAAGATCCTCATCTTTGCTGAACTTTTTGTTCTTTTCCCTCTGATGTCCCAATGGGCATTTTCTACGATTACAGAATAATATAAACATAGTGAGATCCGACATTTCCAAGCTAGGTTCAACATTGGTGAAAAGTCTTGAAATAGAGCAAAACAGTTAACAAGTAGTCCTTGTTTTCTAGTGGTCTTCTGGCTGATGTCCATTCATGATGAAAAATTCTAAGAGATCTTTCAACTCCTCTGAAACTTTCTGTCAAAATAACACTTCAAAGTATGTAATTTAGAGTGTGATATCAATCTATCTATTACTGTTCATCAGCTTGATAGCTGAAACCAATCAGCGAAGTTATGTGTGCCATACTCTTTAGCTTATCACTCCTCTCTTTTCCTTTTGTCGCAGCTCAATTCGAAAACTTATTCTATCAATTGGATAACCTTATTCCAGTTGCTGAGGAAAAGAAGAGCTGGTTCAAATCTAAGCTGGTCGACGTTGCGAGTCAATACTTCATTTCACCGAATTCATATTCTAAAGTCCTCTCTGAAGAGCATCAAAATGCATTGAAAGCTCTCAGAAATAATGACGAAATCGTCATACTGTGACCTGACAAAGGCTCAAGAGTGGTGCCTATGGAAAGAGGTGACTACATCGAAGAGATGGAAACTGTTCTGAATGACTGGTTGAGTTTTAAAGTCGACGACTGCCAGAAAGACACAAAAGATGCAGCTGAAAAACGCATCACAAACGTACTGAGAGATCTGCTAAAGAAGAAATTGATTGACAACAATACATATAATGAATTGGAACCCAGAGGGTCCCGTTTGCCACACTTGTATGGCCCTCCAAAGACACACAAGAAAGAATCCCCTCTGAGACCAATACTTTCGATGGTCAACTCGCTCCAAAATAAGGTTGCGAAGCTTTCATCACAAATTAACTGCCCAGCTCAGAGAACACAACCACATCAAAATCATCCACCTTAGCCACAAATCTTCTCTATCATATCTAAAGTTAAAGCATGCAATCGACGAAACAACTTCCTATTGTCGATATGTCGATGACACGTTTGTAGTGTGCAACAATGAAAGTCATACTTCCTACCTACTCAGGTTATTCAACAACGCGCATACAAATATTGTATTTATTATGGAACATGAAAATGATTGGAAGTCCTATATCCTGGACATTGGCATGCAACGCCTAGAAGATGGCAGTCTCCAGAGGTCAATTTACCGAAATCTGACATGGAATGGACAATACTTACATTTTAATAGTTTTTGTCCAAATAGCTATAAACGAGCACTAGTCAGGACTTTGTACTATAGAGTGAGGAGAATATGCTCTGCAGAGAAACTAGAAGAAGGATATATGATTCTCGAAAAGGTGTTTAACAACAACGGTTATCCTCAAAGATGGATGATGTGAGGACTCAAATATCAAAAAAATCACAGTTGAAAAAGCCTATCTTCATTCAACTAGATTTTAAAAGGGAAAACATTGCACCAATGGTCAAAAGAAGACTGAGTACGTCACTAGCCAGAGCCTATCCCGCAGTTAAGTTGGTTCCCGTCAATCGAACAACTTGCTCTTTTAGAAAACAGAAAGATTGAGAGAAGAAATATTTACTTTCGATTAGATCCTCATCTTTGGCTCTACTCTAATATATATATATATATATATATATATATATATATATATATATATATATATATATATATATATATATATATATATATATATATATATATATATATATATATATATATATATAGCATTTTAATTACAATACAACAGTTTGCCAATCAAGTGGCGATAAGTTTGTTAACAATAATTAAACAATGTCAATGGGTGCAGTCAGAAGTCTGCGTATATCCTTCTCATGTTAACTCCAACTCTGTATACAAATTTACCTGTGTCTACGGGAGCATTTGCACTGGGAGAACAGAAAGAAGGGCACACCTCCGATCTTCTAAACATGCAGTGTCTCAAGAGAACAAACTCTTATAATAGCGCTAATACGAGACATCGCCTCGATACGGGTCATGAGGTAGAAATTGCGAAATCCTTTAAAATTATCAACAGACAAAAGAACTCAATTCTTCTTAAGTTTACCGAAGCAATTTCTATCATACACTTGAAACCGGATTTATGTGTTCATAAAAAAGCAGTTATTAGTCTTTCCTTGCCATGGTAACTGGATGTCTTTATTATTTTTTTCTTTAATTCGATTATGCAATCTTCGGCTTTAACCTTATCGGCTTTAACCTTATACTCAACTGAAATGGGTTAACAGAAACATGTCTGGTTATATGAATATTTGAGTGCGGTGCATGGCTTATTTGAACGTTGAGAAGTTAACTGCTTTAAAAAACATACACAACAATCGTATTTGCAAATTCACCTACCTGAAAATCTAAAGCTTCCTTATATGCTGACTGATTCAATAATTTATTCTGATACATTTGCTTCTTATGATTCTTTAATTCTTCTGTTAGCTTACTGTGTTCCAATTTGTCTAAATAAAGCTCCTTTTCCTTCAAACGATTTACATCAGATAAGTGCTTTTCAACTTGATGATCAAGTTCACTTCTTGAAAAACACAAACCCCAAAAAGACAAAAAAAATAAACGTTTCGACAAACAACGTTGATAGTTATAGCTGATGTAGAACTCACATTGCATGTAATTCAATCCTGAGAAATTCAGGTTACTTTTAGAGCAAGCAGTCTGTTTATTCGATGGATGATAAGACAGGAGAGGTGAGAGTGTGTTGCGGACAAATCTCAACACCGACTTAACTTGTTCTGCTTAATTTCCATTCTGAATATTCTAGGCTTTATACCACTAGAAATGACGGGAGTGGGTGTGCTGAAACTACGCTGCTAAACATCATACTTGTTTGATTATGATTGCTCATTGGAAATGACTGGAATAACTTCATTGTTCCTGGTATCATCTGGTGATCAACAAACAAACCATTAACAGTTCGATATTGGACCACATCTGGTGCAAACCGGCCGCAAGCCAGCCAGCGTGGAAGAATCCTTCTCTATCAATCTACCGGGTATCAAATAAATTGCCAAAAACATCGAAGCACCACATACTCCAAACACCAGAGGCTATTGCGATTCACCTCAAACAACTAGTGCTCTGTGTTCAGAAGAAGCAAGTCCAGCTACTACTGCCTTGGCCTTCAGCAGAGACTATAAATTCATGAATTTGTAATATTATCTTTCCTAATTTTTCTGACATTTAGCTTATTTTATGTTGATGCTACTGAGCTGTAATCTATCAATATTATTGATTCGATGTTATTTAAACAACATTAATTCATTCATTTAAAGCAATTGGTTCCCTTTATGAATTTCGACAAAACAATAAGAAGACGTAGTTTATCTGAAACGTATAATGTATTGGCGCAACACATTTCATTGAAGCCTTAGCCATTAAAAGACTTAAACCTGTCTTATGCGTCCAAAAGTTATTTGTTATCACCTTAAACCTGCCTTGGTAATCCAACTTAGAACCAAGGACCAATTTTACTTCATAATATTTTCAAACCTTTTCTTTGCCTTTTTTTCCTCCCTTTATCTTTCTTACCCACACCTTTTGCGGCTCCCTACCCATTAATTTGTGACCTTGACCTGTACACAATCTGACCTGTATTGTAATTATTCATGCTTTCTTGCCTTATATAAAAACTGTGTATGACAAGTACGTGTGTGATCAGAATGTCCGAAATGTGTTGCGCCAATACATTATACGTTTCAGATAAACTACGTCCTCTTATTGTTTTGTCGAAATTAATTCATTCACTACTCTTTGTTCAGTACCCACTCTTTTGAAAAAAAGTTATTATTCCACTTATGGTCGTGACAGTTCATTTTACTAGACTATCTTCTAAAAGCAATTTTCACATCTTCACATTCTCAATCCGATTTACTACTAGAGGAAAACACTATCACTGCAACAACAACTACAACAACAAATGAAAACCATGACACAAAGAAAGTCAACAAACGCCAATGAAATGTTGAACTACAACACCTTATAAAAATAAAGAGTAAGCTGAATCACGATATTATTATTATTACTTTTAGTTCCTAGAGGAACATAGGGCTTCAGCTGCGCGTCTCCATTGCGTTCGGTTCTCCGCCAACGCTACACATCTACCCACATGCTCTCATCTCCTCTTCACATGACCTCCTCCACGCCAACCTTAGACGATCAACCCTCTGCCCGCTTCCCATTCAGTCGGATTCCACTCGAGGGCTCCTCCAAAGATGATTTGTTTTCTCACGGTAAGGCCAATCCAATCCACCTACATTTCTTCCTGCTTATATGTTGCACAATCAGTTCCTGGTTGGCTGGCTCCCAGAGATCCCTCACTATTGCTGATCTTTCCTGGCTGGCCATCTGATCTTGAGTATTGACGGAAGACAGCTGTTGATGAAGGTTTTGAGACGATATAAATCATGGCTTTGATAAGAAGAAAAATAATGTCTTCCTATGGTAAAGTTATGTCGAGCAAACACAGTTTAACTTGGTGGAAGTTATTTGATAATTGCATTCACATAATCTTGTCCAAAATGCGCGCAAGTATTAGGTCGCATTAATTAAAGACACTGAGGCTAAACAAAGCTTGTATTAGAGTGGTTCTTGTTGCTAATCGATTAACAGTTGAATTCCTGATTATGCATAGTTCTTTGAAAGACCAAGAACAGAGTCAACAAAGTCCAACTAACTAGTCAAACAAATCAGTTATAAACAGATAAACACTAAAATAAATTTGCACTTAAGTGAAATAATAATCTCATATATATGATGTGCCTTCGTTCGTTTATGAGTGCACTACTATTTGAGTCTGTTATTTACCTTCGGCAATATGCAAATGGTTTAAGAAGAATAAATTCCTATGAATTGAATGCAGGTTTAAACTTAACTTCAGCCGGAACATACCAAACATACCGCATTTTTTCAGTGCCTCCATATAGAAGAACTACATCACCTGAGAAGTCTGAACCCAAGAGATTGTTCATTGCTACTGATGCTGATATTCACTAGTTCATCTAAGTAAATTATTATTATTAATATTTCCTTTAATTCCTAGAGGAACATAGGGCTTCAGCCGCGCGTCTCTATTGCCTTCAGTTTTCTGTCAACTTTTTCACTCCGCTCCAAGTCTTCCCACATGCTTTCATCTCCTCTTCACATGACCTCCTCCAAGTCACCCCACCCTCACACTGACGACCAACTCACTCGAGCAATGACTTGTCTAGTGATGTCACTTGATGGTTTCCTCAGAGTATGGCCAATCCAATCAACCTCCATTTCTTCCTGCCTATTTGTTTCACAATCGGTTCCTGGTTGGTTCGCTCCCAGAGATCCCTATTGCTGATCTTTTCTGGCCATGTGATCTTGAGTAGTATTGACAACTGTTAATGAAGGTCTGTAGTTCGTTTGAGGTGCTCTTTATGACGCGCTGGCCAAGTCTGTGATCCGTATAGTGAGTAGCACTGACTGACTTCACATTGGAGTTGAAAATCCGAATCTTATTTTTCATATTGAGTGCTGTTGACTTCCACACAGACTTAAGGGTAATGAAAGCTTGTCTTGCTTTTCCGATTCTGACTTTGATATCCTCGTCAGTTCCGTCTGCCTGTAGTTGAAACGATGCTTCCCAGGTAGGTGAAGGAGGTTGTTTCTTTCAGGTTCCTCCCATTTATCTACATCTAAGTGCATCAAACAAAACTGGAGAATACAGGCCTCCATGACTTCAGACGACAACTGTCCATAAGCTCTTATACGAATGAACCATTTCGAGTAGAGTGCCTTGATTAATGTGACACCCCCTTTCGGTACTATTTTCATGGCTAAATTTTTCCATAGTACTTCGCGTTAGAAGTGGCCAAATGTCATCTCTTTTGTCAATACATATGGTAAATTTTGGACTCTGGTAAATATGCCTGCATTCCAGAACCTCTCGAAAGATGAGTATGTGACTAGTCCTCAGTGTGAATGACTACTTAGTTCTCATTTTAATTTGAAAGATTTTGTAGATGACTGACATAAAAGCTAACACTTGGTAGACGTGTTTTCCATTGTAGGACGAACCACTGACTGAACACACCGGCAATTCTGTAAAAATAAGAATATTAGGTAAAAACAATTAAAATAAAAAAATTGTCCCCTATATATATTTTATAAAACCTGCAAAAGTACTCGATGACAAAAGGAAAGCGAAGTTGTCGCATTCAGAGTAACTCACTTTAATTCATTCTGTTTAATCTGACGTAGTGGTGTTGAAGGTCTTTTGTTCAGAATAAATGTTTCATAGTTTGTTGGATCAACATACGACTTTTTCAACTGTTTGGCACAGGCAATACCCATATTATAAGCAGCTTGTTTGCACAATTCACTACGTCTGTTGAGTAGATTTTCCTAAAACGAATACAGTTACAGTAATAATAACTTTATTCCAAAAACAGTACTTGTGATACAGAATGGAATTTTCAGCATTAATCACAGTATTGCATCTAATTTCATCAAATTATAAATAAAAATTAATTACACAGAAAAGTTTCTACATTTACAATAGGGTTAATGTCAAAACATGCAGCATATAAAATGGAAATAGCAATAATAATGATAACAGCTAGGGTAATAATAATAATAATAATAATAATAATAATAATAATAATAATACAAGTGAAAATTACTGTGGGATTGATTCACACAGTATTGGCAATGTGGTATAGAAATCCTAGCATGTTTAAAAATATTGAATATAATGTTCTCTTTACATGATATGGTGAGGGGAAAAACAAAAATTACAGCAGTAATAGAGAAAAGTTGGTGTTTGCAATTATGAGAGTAAAAAAAAGAAGTAACAGGATCATAAATATAATAAAAATAATAAAAGTAAAACTTGAAGGTATATAAGGATGGATGGAAGAAATTGTTTATTTACTAGATGATAAAAGGTTAGTTAATTCATGTCTGACACTATTTTCATCACACAAAATACGTGCCAAGTATGGTACCATAGAATTTCTATACTTAAACGTCCGAGCATACAGTTTTCTGAAGTTACTCCTTGTTCTACCTGAGGAAATGCAAGGTGAAAGCTGAGGGTAAAGTGGATGCTCCAAGTCAGACAAAATTCCTCTAGAAAATTTATTGCACGAAGTCAAGTGCCTATTGACAATGACGTTAACTGTGTGGTCCACTGGGACACCACTCACCCTACTGACAGTCTTCAGTATTCTACGAATTGTGACATAGTCTTTTTTAAGCAAACCAGGAAAGAATAAGGGTGGACAATAAAGAAGAATAGGTAGGATGCAAGAGTTTATGAACTGTAAGAGGAGGGGTTGAGTTATACCCCAGTGTCTGAACTTCTTAGTGTAAAATGTCAGGCGGAATATTTTACTGGAGATTGCTAAGACATGGGAAGACCAGGAGAGATCTGAAGAGAGAATGAGTCCAAGATACTTAATTTCTGATTTCATTCCTATATCATTGTAGTCAATTTGACAACTGTCATGAGAATTGACGGCTTCTTTTAACTGTCTTCTACAGACAGTGATATAGGTGACTACTCTTACTCTGAGAACTATATATATATATATATATATATATATATATATATATATATATATATATAACATCAAATATTTTCTCTTATCTAACCAGATATGTCTTACAGTTGTTAGGTGTCTACTAGTGCACACAGTATACAATAACAGTGAGTAAGTGATTAGTGCTGGCTAACTACGCATGTGGTAGGGGATTCGACTCCTGGCTGACGCATTCTCAAACTTCTTCGGTAGTGAGTCAGTAGGGTGGGGGAAGTTTGGACGTGAGGCTAGCATCCCCACCTCGTAAAACCTACATCACAGTCAGAAAGCCTATGGAATCCAAACATAATTGAAAAGTCATCTTGTGTCTTTCAGAAACTTCACAGTAGCTCTCAAAGCCTCTATATACAACAAAGAGCACCTTAACTTTTGAGTTAACGGACCAGAATCTGCATTATACTCATACGTTTATACATTCTGATCAAGAGTGATCTTCGAAAACACCTTTCAGTGCCTTGAAAAAAGATTTAATGTTACTGAAGAAGTTAAGATGTTTCCTACTTTGATTTGTATTGCGAATACAATTCAAAAATACAAACGGAATCCTCTGCACTCAGCATACAAAACAAGATTCGTATTCTGTTCAACACAAATGTGAAGTCAGTGGGTCAGTCACTTCTTCTATATGGGTCAGAAACTTGGCCAGCGTGTCACGTAAAGGACTTCGCAAAAGTTATGGACTTTTGTCAGCAGTTGCCATCTTCGTTGGCTGGCTCCATACTGAAGACCAAGTGACCATCCAGAAATAACTAGCAACAAGAAACTCTCGCTGGCTTGCTGGGAATAAACTAACCAAGAGCCGATTGTTCAACAATTGGATATTTAGGAGAAAATTTGTAACAACGGAGGGCAAAACACGGAAGCCAAGGTATATTTTCAAGTGATCTCACCACTATATATATATATAGTATTCTGTTTCTAATACTGTATTGAACTGTGGGAATATGTAAGAATAATATCCCATTGGAAGACATTGTCTGTATCACATTATCACAAATGGAGATGGACTGGGCATACACTGGGGAGGCCGTCAAATGATAACGTGGGCAATACAGGCCATCGCTCGAGTGAAATGCGAATGAGAAGAGACGAGAAGTTCGTTGATGTGAGGGTAACATGGAGGAGATTGTGTGGCGGGCAGGTGGAGAAGATGAGAAAATGTGGTCAATTTTGGAGTTAAGTGAAGAGAACAGCAGAAAACAGAACAAGGTGGAGATGTGTTGTTCATACCATAGCAGATGTAGCATTACCTCTCTTATTTGGTTTAGTGATCTTCATTGTTATTTTGACCCTCTTTATACCCTTTTAACTTGACCTGTTAACTCTTTATTTATTTTATATATATTCCAATGTGATTGTGTGTGATTGTTCGATTCAGACAAATTACGACTTCTTATTGCTTTATCTCAATTCATAAAGGGAACTAATTGTTTGAAGTTTACTCACAACTACTTTAATTGCGTTGCTACAAAATAAACCGTTGCGCAAAACAATGTAAAAGCAAATAATATTAAGTCATCAGTAATTATCAGTAATATCAGTTTATTCGAGTTCAGAGGCAGCGTTTGAAAAATAAAAAGCAATAACATCATCTCATAGTGAATAACTCATAGAAGCATGAAACTGAGAATGTAAACAACAGACACTTTCATCATCATACACTTTTCTCTGCAACAGCAATCTCTCTCTCCTATTATATTTGTAAGTTTTAAAATTTCCTTTATTTAGGTTCATCTGACCCGGATTTTTATGCTGTTGAGGATATGCATTAAATTTTTGCGAACATATTTCTAGCAAAACTGGGAAATAGTTCATTTGAAAGATGAAATGTATTGTCATCACATGCATGACACTTTTGTAATGTACGATGAAGGTTTACGTGGTGATTTGATTTTGACCAACTTCAGTAATGCTTAGCCAGCGGTTCATTTCACCTACGAAAGAGAATACAACGATTCTCTACACTTCCTCGACGTCCTACTAACGAGAAAAGGGGATGGTTCCATCAAAACAACCATATTTAGAAAGCTAGAGACCAAAGCTCAGTATACACACTTTCTTAGCTTCGTACCGATGAAATACAAACGTAATCTAATCAGGTGCTTAGCATTTAGAGTGAGGTCTATTTGCTCCAAAGACTGCGTAGAGAAAGAACTCCAGGTCATCCGAGACATTCTAAGCGAGAACGGATATCTAAAGAAGTTCATTAAAGCCAACATAGGTTACAATAGTCATAAACATGAACTGGCAACTATGGAGAAAAAGCCTTTGTTTTTACGTCTCCAATTCAAAGGAGATACTCCTGCGGAAATTCTACTCCAGCGTTTAGCCAGGGCGATCAAGAAAACTTTCTACTCTGCACATCTGTGTCTATCCTTCACTAGCCGTTCAATGTTCACCCAGCAACTCAAAGATGTCTTACCTAACCTTAGCTCGTCTTCATGCATATACCATTTCAACTGTTCCTGTGGTTCAAGTTATATACGGCGCACGACTAGGCAGGTTTGTCTACGGGTTCGAGAACACTTACCAGCTTGGTGCATAAAAAGCTTGATCCTGTCACACTTGGTCGATACTAGACATCGCACCGATGTCAATGCAGCCTTCAGGGTTATATACCGAATCCCGAAGTTGTTATCACAGACAGTACGCTTACGTCTCCTACACATAACTGAAGCTGTTGCAATAAGATCGACTAAACGGGAACTTTGTATCCAAAAAGAATACGTCCAGATACTGTTTCTATCGTGGCGAATCTTGGATTGAAGATCTTTCTTCTCACCAAGAGTGCTCCTTCCCCTTAACCCTCTTGGTTTTTTTCTCTTTGCTTATCATTACAATTATTATTATTATTCGTCATAATTTATGCCTCGCTCTCCATACTATCGAATTTTCCATTTACAATATCCGGACTTATTATTAGTGATATTACCTCTTTTCATGGAGGATTTCATCGCGAGCTGACAGCTCATGTAGAGTTTTGATATTTTTTTGACCCCAGATAGCATCTCATATACGAAACCAATTGGTTTTGCTGTTAAACACTTGAAAGTCTGAGTGGCAGTTGATCAAAAGTATACACTGTGTTGAAGGAAGTCACACTTTGAACAAACTACAGACCTTCATCAACAGCTGTCTTTGCTCAGTTCTACTCAAGATCAAATGGCTGGCCAGAAAAGACCAGCAACAGGGTAGGATCACTGGCACTGAGCGAACCGACCGAGCAGGAACCGACTGTGCAACAAATAGGCAGAAAGAAATGAAGGTGGATTGGCCATACTCCGGGAAAACCATCAAGTGAGTGACATCACAAGCCAGGCCATCGCTTGCGTCGAGCCTAAAACTAAAGCGGCGAGTAAGTCGACAGTGAGAGAGTGACATGGAAGAGAAGGTGATGCGAAGAGGAGATGAAAGCATGTGGGTGGCAGACATGCAGCCAAGTGAAAACTCTGGCAAAGAATCGAACGCAATGGAGACGTTCATCTGAAGCCGTATGTTTCTATAGGAACTAGAAGGAAAAATAATAATAACAAACTACTAAGCCTTAGCTTCGTCTTAACTTCATTCTGGATAAGTTTATCAGGGAAACGACATGATATTATGACCCGTACTAGCAGCTTGTCAGTTGCGCTATACCTGTAGTAGAAAATTCTCCTTCAAAATTTAACCTGAATAAAATTATTTTACAAATGTGTAAGGAGAAATAAAAACTGTCAGTTTACTCTACCTGTTCTTTTTTAACTTCATTATCCGCTCGCATTGCTTGGTACATACGTAAGAGCTCTTCTTCAGCTTGTTCTCTCTGTCTTATTTCATCTTTCATATCAACTGGAATATTTCGTATACGTCTTTGATGACATAAATAACACAGTCCATTGTTTGTATTTAATGCATGATTGCAATTTTCATCAATTTTCGGTATTCTTCTCTCTAATTCTTCAATATTACTACTTTTCATGGAGCGCACGCTAGATAGTGAAGATCTTGAATAACTTGACATTTTAGAAGAAATCTTTGGCGTAGAACAGTGACTAACAGATTTCGAATTTTCTTTTGTACAGTGTTCAGTATCAGATATGTCAAGTTTAGGTAATTCTGGTCTAATGAAATTGTTTGAAAATATCTCACGGACAGATGTTACTTCTGCAGGTGGATCTGACATCTGAGGCTTAAGATTCAATCTCTTCTCTGAAATTGACTCTTCTGTATCAGAATTACATTGAGTACCAGATTCCACAATATCATGGATTTGAGCAACCTGTAATAAGATTCAGTAAGTCAGTAGAAAGGTAGTAGATATGTTCAGCAGGTGCTAAATAGATCTCTTCTATCGAATTATTTCAATATCATCAAAACATTCGTCATTAAGAAATTTTCTCCATTCAGAAAGGTATCGAAACTTTGACTAAGAAACATAAATTAATTATTTTATAAGCACAGATAATATTGAAGTATGGTATTCATGTTAGATGGCTGGAGGCACTTGTCAGGAAGCCAACAATAATATTTTTTTTCCTTCACGTTCCCAGTGGAACACACAGCTTCAAGCTAGTGGCTTGAAGTTTCTGTAGCAGTGTTTATTTTACAGCATGGGGTTGCTAGCCTCATACCCAACCTTTCCTCTTTACCAGCAATATTTCTGGCTTGGCGAGGTAAAGGAATGCGTCGGTGGCTGGGGATCGAACCTCGGACCATGTGCATGGTCGTCGAGCGTCCTAACCGCTGTGCCACCGACGCACGAGGAAGCCAACAAACACAACATATATGTCCAATTTGTCCTACCGATCATCTCCAACCACTTAAAATCAATTCAGAGCTCACCACGTTGTCGAGCCGTCTAGTACAGTAGCTACATTGTACGCCTGACTGGTAGAATCCCATCTGCGCCAAACAAGGGACTAAATGCGTCACATTAGCTATAACCTTGTGTGTAGTCAAACTAAGTATGAAATCAAGGATAACTAGCAGTAATTTTTATGACTCAGTCGTCATGATTAAATGATTTCTCGTCTGGCGGTTTACCGTCACTTTGACAATTTATCTGATTAATCACCTATTTCTCGGTAAACGTAAATCCTTTTAAGTGTCGATGAGATGCTCACTGGCGACTTGCCCTATTCAGGTTGGTAGTTACCTGGGGTTCTGGTGCGAAGTCGTGACCAGTAGGACGCAGCAGGCCGGGTGTGAGGACAAATGCTCGCCGAAGACATCGGCTAACGGTCGCGCTGGCGTACTGGCGAAGAGTCCCAAACTAGGACGAAACAGTCGTCCAGTACTTCCAGGTTTTACAATGGTTCCCTAACTAATGTCAGCTCATGAAGAAATCACGTAACCAAATCCTTTTATTTCGATCACATGGATGGGATAAGAAAACCTATTTAAAAAAAGTATTGTTTAACAAGGCAACTGAAGGGTTAAACGTATCGTGTATCCTCCGATTATCGTAGGCGATGAAATGTGAATCAATTATAAGCCGCCTTTTTTAATTAAACAGTATATACTGTTTTTGATCAGCCAGTTTCAACGAAATCTCATATGACCCGTTGCACAAGAGGCGGTTCTCATGGCCCAAGTGGTCTAGTGGATAAGGCTTTGGCGTTTGAAACTATAGGCACTGGGTTCGAGCCTCGGTAGGAAAATCATCACTCACTGGAGAATGCAGTTCCTGGATTCCATTGCTAGTCGCCATCCAACAAGTGACCTCGAAATCTCATCATATTTGAAAGCTCCCTTTTTATAATATGATTCATACGGATCAAGACATGCTTTAACCTACTTGATTATTTTTGTATATTCGACTGGTATGAATACAAGATGCCAAGGAATCATTGTCATCCTGAAAGTGTTCATGAACATCTCTCTTGGAAGATTTACTTTCAGAACTCATTTGACTACCTACAAGTTGACAAAATAAAGAATACCATGCATACAAAGTAACTGTCTAATATTTGGAATCACGCGGCAAATAAGTGAAATTTGTTACACAGGAATATACGGTAATAGCTAGAGGTAATGAGAAATATAAAAAAGTACTTTCCAAGATTCGCCGAAAAAATCGATACACTGTCGATTAACTCTTTGCTTACTAGTTTAACAGTGCCTGTAGCTCTCAAAAATGTAAATAAGAAGCTTTATTTGATATCGAAAGGCTAATTTAAAATTTCGGTTTGTGCTTAACAATTTTAGTAGATCATATAAAAGCTACACCCTTATGATCTCAGTTATTTCTATGTGAAATACAAAATCTAAATAAAATACAGGTAACCTACTTAAGCGCTGTTAAAATGAACCCTACGTGATACGTGGAACGCAGGTTCACAAGGTTTAGCTAAAACTACTATGCGTCGGTGGCACAGTGGTTAGGACTCTCGCCGACCATGCACATGGTCCGAGGTTCGAGCCCACGCCGACGCACACTTGATATCTATGGTCGGCCTGCGAATTTTGGGCTACCGATATCCACGCTGAAAATTCCACACTTGTACCAAAAATACGGTGTGGAGTCAAGCTGTAATCAAAAATAAAAATAAATAAAAATAATCTCGGTGAATAACTGAGTCAATTTAAACGGTTTTAAGGGCTTTCAACCCTCTGAGTCGAACATAGGGCTTAAGCAGCATACCACCAATTCACTGTGTTCTACACAGTCTTTCCTAGCTGGCTCCACAACTGCCCATCTGTTTCCTCCATGTCAACCTCGGATGCGTGATTCGCTGTTTTCGGCTTCGGTTCCACCCTACGGCCTTGTGGGCGATATTACCCAACGGATTATTTTAACTGTGTTTTCTTCTTCTTCCATGGACTTTTGGAGGATGAAGATCACATCACTGGCTGACTGGAGGAAAATTCAGCTTGTCGACAACAGAAAACATCCCTTGCGGTCTTCAGAATTTAACTACACTTGTCCTAAATTCAAATTGTCCTTGTGCAGTCAGAGATGCTAGAATTCACGCTCTGTGCAATACGAATCATCAAGCGTGTAGTATTAATTTTCTAGTTAGTCTCGGTTTCGCTACTGATCATTTGAATTTGAAAATAATTTTACTGCAAGCATAAAAACTCCTTTTTAAAAAGTGCGTTCAGCTTCTAGAGATGATACAAAAAATAAAAATTCAATAATTCAGAGAACAATAACCTGGTTCTTGTGACCCAAAAACTTTCATAGCACTAAATTTAAATAGTTTTACTAGCCAATATAAAAGTATTGAACTTAAGTGCAATTTTGAATGACAGATTTGAGTGACTGTTTACCTGTGACAGAGTATCTAAAGCACTGTGAAAAAAAGCCTGGTTGCTGCGTCCTCTACTGTCCTGATCTCGTCTAAACTAACTAATTGAACCTGTAGAAATCGATTTCACAGAAAAATTTCAAATGAATTTTCTCAATTCTTAAGTTTATAACCTTTTCAAGGTCTGTGAGCGTGATTTGATGGCTGTACCCAGAAGCTCGAGGGTTCGAACCCCAGCGGGTGCGTACTGATAAAGAGTCCCAAACTAGGACGAAACAGCTGTCCAGTACTCCCAGGTATTCCAGTGGTTCTCTAACTGATGTCAGCTCATGGTGAAATCCTCCATGTAATCAAACAAATCCCTACAAAACCAATACTTGAAAATAAATAAATAACAGCTTTCATATTCGAAACGAAATTTTCAAACGACAGAGCGCAAAACAAACATATTCACCTCATGTACACAATTTTTTTTTCAGAGATGGCTTTCAAATGTTTTAGCTAGAGAACAACATACATACCTTGTCTTCTTGACAGCTGTCTGTTTTCATTCAGAATAGGCGTACAAGAGGGAGTTGTTTCGTTTTCATCAATGGTAGCTAACCTTTTTTTCAAAGAAATGAAAGAGGATTTAAGGCTTGAGTAATAAACAGAGATGAGGGGCATAAACCTGTTATGCTTGACAGACGATTTCTGGGTACACACTACTGCTCTAACACCTCATATTAAGATTGACTAGCTACTAGACTACCTGATGATTCAACCATATTTGAATTTACCTACCAAAAAACTATTTGTAAATCAACTGGTTGTTTTTACTCTCTCTGACTATTCGTGGATTGATAACATTCGAGTCTATATCAGCAGGATATTGAGAACTATCGCTTACTTAACTACTACAACTACTACTACTGATGCTTAGCCTGAACACCTAATGAGAACTTTTAAGCTCATGTAAACTTAAGGCGTCAAGTCTGCTTAAGGACTGATAATAATCCAGGCTCTGTGTTACTTTTTATTATCATTATTATTGTTCCCTTGGGTTCCTAGTGGAACATAGGGCTTCAACTGCACGTCTCCACTTGCTTCTGTCTTCCTTCTGCTGTACTTTTCACCTGCACCCATGTTAGTCCATTCTGTTTCAACTCCTCTTCACACGATATCCTCCATGTCGCCCTTCGAAGTCCATTTCGTCGTCTCTAACACTGGGATTCCACTGGGGTGTCTGTCGTCCGATGTCACTTGATGGTTTCTACAGGAAATGTCCAGTTAATCTCAATTTATTATTATTATTCCCTTGGGTTCCTAATGGAACATAGGGCTTCAACTGCAGGTATTCAGTTGCTTCTGTCTTCTGCTGTGCTTTTCACCTGCATCCAGGTTGAAGATGAGGCAGTAACTCGTCGGAGAAGACATTGCGAGGTGGTAGCGCTAAGTCGTGAATTGTCAGAAGTTAGAATTCAGGGACCATTGGATCGGGCCCCAGTGGCTCAATGGTCTACAAGCTCACTAGGCTTGTAACCAGAAGGTCCTGGATTCGAACCCCGGTGGGTGCGTACTGCTAAAGAGTCCCAAACTAGGACGAAACAGCTGTCCAGTACTCCCAGGTATTCCAGTGGTTCTCTAACTGATGTCAGCTCATGGTGAAATCCTCCATGCAATCAAACAAATCCCTACAAAACCAATACTTGAAAATGCATCCATGTTAGTCCATACTGTTTCAAATCCTCTTCACACGATCTCCTCCATGTCACCCTTGCACTGACATGCCCTACTCGCCGCTTCCCATTCGGATTCCACTCGAGCAATGGCCTGAAGTGAGCGCGATGTCACCCAGCGGCTGCCTCCTCAGCGAGTGTCCAATCCATCTTCACTTTCTCCTGCATATTTTTTGGTTGGCGATTGCTTCTTGTTCTGTTTGTTCTCATAGTTTCTTGTTGGTGATTCTTTCCGGCCCGGCCATCTGGTCTTCAGTATAAAGCCAGCGAAAACAGTTATTGATAAAGGTAACGTCTGCAACAGCCTGTTGGAAATATTCTTTGTCACCCAACCGCCAAGTTTCTGATCCGATCCGTATAGAAGAACTGACTTGACGTTTGTATTGAAAATCCGAGCGAATTTTGTTGTTGATGCTGAGTGATGGAGATTTCCAGTTTGTTTTCAGGTTGATGAATGTGTTTCTCGCCTTCCTGATTCCCGCTCGATTTGACATCCTCGTCCGTTCCGACTTCCTGTAGTTGAGACAATGCTTCCTAGATAAGTAAATGAAGTGATCTCTTTCAAATCCTTCCCGTTGATGGTGATTGGCACTGAATGTTGCTGTTGTTGTTGTTGGCTGGTTATTTTCACAACCTCCGTCTTGTCTATGTTCACCTGGAGTCCTGTCTTCGCTGGCTGCTTCTTCGACCAGTTTGTCGGTTTTCGCTTGTAAGTGTTCCTGTGTGTGTGACATCAAACATAAATCATCCACTCGCGAAATCCAGGTCTTCTAAGTTCTTTACGTCGGTCCAGGATATCCCTGTCTTCTCGTTTCCCAGTGTCTGACGCATAATCCAGTCCACCACAATTAGGAATATCATTGGTGATAGATAATATACATCCTTGTCTGATTCCTGTGTTTACTCCAGACGCCTCGCTGAGTTTTCCGTTGTGGATCACTTGATATGTGCCGTTGTCGTACAGTTGTGGAATAAGGTTGATGAATATTTGGGGTACGCTGTATTACTCGGGTGTTAATTTTTACAAGCGCTGAAATATATGTCGAACGAATTATTTCCACACAACCATAACGTGAAAGGGTTTATAACTTGATTTATCAATCTTTTAACGCACGTTTTTATCCGCATAGTGAAATGGAATTTTATGTAGCCTGCCGGCACCTATCTAATGTAACAACAGATAGGTGTTGTCTAATTTTCAAACGGTATCGCATAGTATGAAATCTTGACAGCGATTTATCGTTTGGACTAATCTTAAAGTGATTATGTACGCAGTATAAGGCTACTGATATTCATGAAAACAAAACACGCAGATCAGCGAAGAGTCTCTTTTCGGCGAATTCACCCAAAAAGAAACTTTACATAAACTTGGATTTCAAGGAAGATTTAACAAGTGATATTCTCAAGAGAAGGATCGCATCGTCTCTGGGAAGAACATTCTTTTCAGCAACGCTAAGAATAGTATTCTCCAGTCGCCCACTGATCTGCAGAAGTCTCAAGGACAAGATCCCGCATCTGGCCACTTCTATGTGCATTTATCAGTTCACCTGCTGCTTTGGAGCCAGGCACATGGGTCGTTCGACGCGCATCCTGTCCAAGAGGATTCAAGAACACTATCCACCATGGTTGCGAAAAGGCAGTAGTGGTGCAATAGGGAGTGCGATAATTGAACACTTGGTTAACACTGATCATTGCATTTCAACAAACGCCTCTTTCAAAGTAATCTACAGAGTCAAGAATAACCTGTCCTTTGTATCGCTGAAGCTCTGGCTATTCACATGGAAAAACCGGAGCTCTGCATACAAAAGAAGATTACTCAACCACTTCTACTCTCATGGCAACAATGTTTTGATTTGTTTTGTGTTTTTATTTTATTTTGATGACTTAATTTTGTTTCCTTGCCTGTTCTTTAATTGCTTATAATTCTTGTATTCACTTAGATCTCTTACATAATTTCGTATTATCTACTTTGTTTCTATGTGTATCCTGAGTAAAACTCACTCATCAAACTATTCATATTATTATTACATAACTTCTTTTTTAGCAACTGTTTGTGACAACTCATCACCTTTGTTACTACCCTAGTTTCATTAACACTTAATTTTCTTGGCATGTATTACCAACCTTCACCTGTTTAGTTAAAATAACCATAACCAATTGTCTATTTTAGTTTGACAAACTTAATGTACACATACTTACAAAATGACACATGTATATTTGCGATTGTACAATTGGGAAAATGAATTCGCCGCCGTCGAAAAGAGACTCTTCGCTGATTTACTGATATTCAACAAACTAGACTGTATACAAAATAAATACTACGCCCACTGTACTTCGTACAGCTGCACTACATAAAATTCATGATATTTTCTTTCATCGCCTAATTTTCCAACGTCTAAAGAGAAACAGAAGATCGTGAAAATTACAGATCGTGACATTACAGAAAGATAAAAAATAAACTCACTGTTGCAGAGATTTTATGGACTTGTAGCTTCTATTACTCAGTCCAGATCGGTCAGTTGTCATACAGTCTGAAGATTCTGGTCGCTAAAACCATACACAATTTTAATTCAGTACCATATAATTTATAAAGTAAATAAAAACTCAAATTCGTACTAAAGCTTTTCCATATTGAAATATCTACTACGATTAAAAAGGAAACTTGAAACTGACTGCTCATACAAAAAACTCCACTAATTCACTACCCATCGAAACCGAGCTGATAAACACTCCCGATCGACAAGAACAAAAATCCAATTATCAGACTACTGCTTAGCACCGAATCTCAAGACGACTGTGTTAGAGTCAATAGTCATTAGGCGTACAGAACACATGGTGCCCCAATAAAGTTCACCACCAGGAAAATTTAGATATATTTCTGCCTCAGTGGAATGCCTGAAACTACTCTAAAATAAACAATGTTAGCAGCTCCCACAGAAACTCTTCTGTTAAATGACTGTGGCTATTAATTTATTAGCACGCAAAATTAATTTCCCACTGATTCAGTAACCCAAAATCTTCACAATAACATTTTAATTAATAGTACATAAGGAGGCTGTTTCTGGGTCATTATTATCAACTGTTTTGCTCGGTAAGTGGTCATTGTTTTAAAACACTCCAGTTATTGATAAATAGATTCGCTAGTGTTCGTCTACTACGACCACTTTTGACAATAATAACTTTACACCATAACAGTTTCCTGGTATGCCCTGGTAAAATGAAATTACTGAAAACATGGACGCTTAAATTCAAAGAAAATTGACTGTCCAGTTAGATGATTATATCTAGGGAATATTATTGCTTAAACCGCATTTTACAACATCACTACAGTTTCTTCTGTTATACGAGTATTAGGCATAGCTGTCAAAAAGGCATGTGAAACCAATAGAAATAGTGGTAAAATATACCATTATGGATATGGTGACTTCATCACTTACATCTCCATCTTGAAGTTTTAAAGGTATATATATAATTCTTTCTTTTAATTCCTTGGGGAACATAGGACTTCACCTGCACGTCTCCACTGCGTTCGGTTCTCTGTCAACGTTTTCACCTGACTCGAGGTTTGGCAACATGCTTTCATCTCTTCTTCACATGACCTCCTCCAAGTCACCCCACCCTCACACTGACGACCAACTCGCCGCTTTCCCTTCGGGTTCCACTCCAGGGCTTGTCTAGTGATGTCACTTGATAGTTTCCTCAGGGTATGGCTAATCTAATCAACCTCCATTTCTTCCTGCATATTTGTTCCACAATCGGTTCCTGCTCGGTTGGTTCGCTCCGAGAGATCCCTGTTGCTGATCTTTTCTGGCTATCTAATCTTGAGTATTGAGCGAAGACAACTGTTAATGAAGGTCTGTAGTTTGTTTGAGGTGCTCTTTATGACGCGCAGTGCAAGTCTCTGATCCATATGTTAAGTAGCACTGACTTCAGATTGGAATTGAAAATCTGCATCTTATTTTTCATATTGAGTGCTGTTGACCTCCACATATACTTCAGAGTTTCTCTTGCTTCCCTGATCCTTGCTTTGATATCCTCGACTGGTTTTTCCCAGATTGTTGAAGCACTCGCTCAGTGGTGTTAAGGAAAACAAGTTTTGCATCATAATACATTCTCTTGATAGCTTTATCGAGTTTCCATTTGACTACTTCTTGTACATCATCTCTTTTGAATGGCAAACTTATGTAGACAGATTTCTTCGGAACTGTTGGGATAGTTTTTCAGGGGCTCATTTCTTTAGAGTATTTATTAACAAAGTAACAGTCGCCAATCCTCAACACTTCAAACTGCGTCCATCAGTTTGAATGTGTTTGTGGAAGCAAATACATAGGTCGTACAGAAAGACGATTGTCTGCTGGCATGATGAAGCATTTGTCAAAACGGTTGAAAACAGTTGAATGTAAATTGCCAAAAATCTCAATAACAAAAAATCTCGTGGACTACGGACATGATATCGACGCTGTCAATTCATTCACTGATATTTTCAGCAGACAAAGAAACAGGAAGATGCTTGCAATTGAAGAGGCTTGTGCAGTTCAAATCTATAAACCAGCTCTCCGTATACAAAAGGAGATGGTCGTGACTCTGAATCTACCATGGTAATACCTTTTACTTATTATTCTACCTCTTATTATTATTATTCTTGATTCATTTAAAACTATCCTTTATCAGTAGGATTATCTTAACTCACTTCAACACTATTATTATTGTATTATAACTATTACTAATGATATTATTCTGTTTGCAATTCTTGATATATTCTCTAATGACTTATTGTTTATCGAAATGATGTAATTGAAGCGTAATGCATTTTATCTTAATTTCAATCTCATACTCCCTCTCTCCTTATCTATTTGAACATGACCTGGAAAACATTCGCACGTATCTTTCTGCGTGACTAATTCAATGTACTTTGTTTACTTATCAGTCTTATATCTCCCAATGTAATTTCAAAAGTATATATATCCGTGTATGTGGAGTGTTCAGCTGACGAGTTCTACCGAAATTAGATGAATTCATTAAATCCTGCCTTATTAACCATTATTGCCTGTTTTAAATTCGTATTGGGAAACAAATGTTTTCAATATTTATATATGTACAGTTTTATATTCTCTAACCAATCACTGAGCGTGTGATTTCGGCTTACACTAAACGACATGTAATAGAATGTTCAAATCTACATATGTAGTATTCTGTTGCTAATTTCGTATTGAACTGTGGAAATATGTAAGAATAATATTCAGTTGGAACATGTTGTCTTATCACACCATCCCAATATGATTATAGCAATATTTATAATAATAATAATAATTTGCTTTATTCTAAAACAGTACTTGTGATACAGAATGGAATTCTCAGCATTTTACTACAGTTATTGCATCCAGTTTGTACATTAACAATAAATAAAGTTCTACATAGATTAAGGGTAATCTCGGCTAGTTTTGACAACAACATATTGGCATGTCGGTAGCAAAGCCAAAATTCAACAGAATGATTGAAGGTGTTAGAAAAGTAGATGCTAGCATATTTACTGGCGTAAGCGGTAACAAAAAGGTCGAGATATACGGAGTGTGCAAGTAACGAAGACAAATGTTTTAAATAGAGTTTGTAGGGAAGAAAGAAACAAAGCTGCACATAACAGAAAAGAGAGAGAGAGAGAAAAGGAAAAGAAAGAAAGAAAACATTGTACCTATAATTGATATGAATTGGAAAGACGAGATCCAGTTGTTCTACTGACTATTTAATGAGTTATAGGTATCACGCCTAGTGCTTTCATTATCACACAGAACACGAGCCAACTAGGGTATGGTTTAGTTTTTGTACTTGCTAGTGTGAGCATAGAGTTTTCTATATAGGCTTCTGGTTTCACCTTATGAGATACAAGGGGAGAGTTGTGAACGAAGAAGGTGGTGGTGTGACTTAGACAGAATGGATTTAGCCCATTTTTCACATGAGTCCATGTGCCTGTCCACCAGAATATTAACAAGCTGGTTGGTTAAGTGGCACGTTGCTTACCCTGCTGACAACCTTTAACATCCTGGGTAATAAGGTACAGTTTTTCTTTAGCAGCCCAGGAAAACCTAAGGGGGAACAATAGCGAATAATATGGAGAATACGGGAGTTAACGAATCATAGGAGTAAGGGTTGGGTTATTCCAGAATGTCTTGACTTCTTGATGTAGAAGGTAAGACGGAATATTTTCTTAGAAATCATCAAGATATGAGACGACCAGGAAAGATCAGCAGATAGACTGACGCCTAGGTATTTAATTTCCGACTTGGTTTGTATTTCAGTGCCATCTATGTTGCACACATCGTGTGAGTGCTACCTACCAGTTTGTTTAGGTCAGATTTATGCCTATAGGCGAAATTGACTGTTTGATATTTAGAGGGATTTAAGGTTAGACCGTTTTCCTTAGACCACTGGCTGATTTCTGATAAAAAGCCATTTAGTTTGGAGCAGTCACTTTGACATTTGACAGGCAAAGATACAGTCGTCAGCACATTTGACAAAATTAATGTCACTTAAAGGTGGTAATTCATGTAGAAAGAAAGAAAGAAGAAGTAAGGAGAGTACAGCATCTTGGGGGAAACCAGCTTCAGTGAGCACAGCAGAGGAGGATTTATCTTTTTATACAGTGTAATGCATTCTGTTTGAGAAGTAGGAATGCAACCAGTTTGTGACCCAGAACTCTGTTTCATAGAGAGCTTATTTAGCAAGAGACATCTAGGTACAGAGTCGAAAGCAGAAGTGAAGTCGAGAAACGTGCAGATGTCAGCAGAAGGTTTTGAAGAGTGGAGTTTTATCCCTTCAGGATTTCTGAGGTAGTATTTTAGTAAACATCACCAATACCCACACCTCAAAAACTAAGGTTGCCTGACTCTCACGGTAGTGATTATGTTAGTTCACACAGAACATCACATAGCAGTTCTTGTTATACTACCAGATCAATCTGAACTCAGCCATAAAGGAATATGAGTTGATTCCACAAAATTAAATTCGACATTTTAGGCTGAAATTTTATACTTACTACACGACTAAAACCAAAATTGGATTGAATAAAATTAAGTATTTATAAACAAATGTTTGACAATCTATTTAATTTTTAATTTTCGCATACATCTACTGCTTTCAACCATGAAATTAATCAAGGCATGGTGGTGTAAATCTTTTTTTAGCTGCTTCATTTGTACGTGACTTCTCGCATGTCGTATAAGTACAGTTAGGTGCAGTTAAGAATCTATACACTTGTTTTATAATATCTGAGTAATAGAAGCCTTTTTGCTGAGTACACCAAGTAAATAAATAAAGTCTTTGGTTAATTTTTATCTCATCAAAAACAACTGTAGTTTACACTTACATTGCAGTATGTTTGTGCTAATTTCCCACTACTATCAAGCTCAATTAAAAAATTATTAAAGAAGCAAAATTTCGCCTTTCTTTTGTTTATACGTAATTTTCCAATATCGTTAAATACAATTTCCACAAATTTATCATGATGTAGGCATTGATTTAACATGGTATACACGTTTTGTATACATTCTTCAATTTGTTCTCTAGGTAGTGAAATTTCTGCGCTCAACTCACTATAATTCAATAGGATTAGTGGAATCGATCCTTAGGTTAAGAAAGAAAATAATGTTAGGGTAAAGTAGAAATCAGTGGTTTTTAATTTCTAAAACAGTTGCACATAATAAGACAAATACTGAAATTACGGAAATGCATAACATCTTAGTTAACTATGCTAGATAAAAACTCTACGACTTGCAGTTCTGAAATTCAAAAATGAGTTGTGATGAGAACTTGTCACTTGTGAATCCACAGCGCCTATGATTGCATCATTGTTATTCTAATGGATCCCGAGTGGAACATGAAGCTTCAACATCACACCATTGCCCTTAGGCTTTCACCTTCTACTATGATGATTTCCCCCATGTCATTCTCAGACATCCAACTCGTCGTTCTCCACTTGTGTCCCACTCCAGGGCCTGGCCTACGATGTCACCTTTTGATCTCTTTTGCTTGTGATTCTAATGTCGTTTTTTTATTTTTGGTTTCATCTAAGGTAGAAACATTTTATGTTATGTGACAGTTAAAATTTCATTCAGTACAGCAGTTTCAGCTACCGTAAATTCAGCAAAAATAAATTAGTTCTGTTTTTGTGGAACAACAAATAAAACTAACAGCAGTTGGTGCTAGACTTGTAGCTCAATGACTTAAAGTGATGTAGCGGAGAAAGAATTCAAAGTCTCCACTGAAAAATAACACACAAACTTTACAAAGTAATGCACTTGAGGACAGTGAATCATGTTCAATTTCCTTTGTAAAAGTAGTCAGAAACAACTCATTTTATGACTGTGCACACCTCACGTTAAAATCAAGCCATATATATATATTTTACAGCGTCAATAACTACGCGGAACTCACATAATAGTGAATTGCACTGACAATCTGAGAGTATAAACCAATCCATTTGGAACTAAAGTGGTAATTTCACCATTCTCCAGTGACTGCTTTCGATTTCATGTCTATCAACTTTAAGAAAATTAATCAAACTATCTAGTGCTCTATCTTCCACTTCGATTAATTAGGCCAGTAAACACCTACGTTAAAAAGAAACCTCTCTGCTTTCCGAATGTTTGAAAATATTTTGCAATTTTATCATTTTTCAGTCAGATTGTATTTACAGAGTATAATGCAGTCAACAAGAGAGAGGTTTAGAATCATGATTCTCAGGTAACTAATAACTGGTTATTTAGCTGTACCATGATTGAAAACTAAGGAATTTTATTTAGATTAAAATATTTCATCGTTGTTAACTTTATTTGTTTCCAAAAAGCGAAATCTTTGGAATGCCAAAAACCAACTATAGGAAACTGCCTTGAAACCTTCAGTAATCGTGCAGATGTATCCACTCACTAGCACATTCAAAACTCATAGAATCTCCACTAATCGTCACCTAATCACCCTATAGTATGTCCTCTTTTGTTTTGGTTTCACCACCTCTTTTCTACTCATGTACGTTTTTCTTCGGAAGCTGCCAGCTTGAACCGTTCCATTTTTGCGTAGGCTCTCGTGTTAATAAGCCAGTGAGTCAGTAAAACATATCACTGTTCAGTAATATTTTAAAGGGAATTAAACCATTTCATGACACAATAAAATGACAGCTCTGAAATGGCCTTTCGCGATGCATGTTATTATTTCAATAAGATGTGCCCATTTTTCACAACCTTTATTCATCAGTAGTGAGGATCCGGGTATCCAGAATGCACTTGGTTGTTTCACCTCTAAACGTCGTAGGCAAAACGTGGCCAATATTCTAGATAATTCTGAGTGACCATAATAATATTAGCATGCAAATTCAACGTTTCAGTGATGAGGCTACTACTTGGAGGCAACACAAAGAAACGAAGCTGTGGCTAAAGCATATCGCCACTTTGCAGACATTTGTAGTTCTTCGACGTAAACAAATTTATCATACTACATACTACTTATGTATACGGTTAGCTAAAATACTGCATACTAACGGAAAGTATTTAATTGAAAACTAAAAAAAATATCCGAGTACAGGCACACAGGTTTGATGCTATTCTATTTAAAAGATTTTCTTTCCTATCACATGAAAATCGACTAAGATGTTCAATAGACTTATGGTAGACATCAAAGCCCCAAACATGCAACCAGAATCATATCTGATCATTTTGCCCTTTTTAAGGCTAGTTATATTCATCACAGAACGGCTTAAAATCTAAGTGTCTTCACTTCATCAAAATATCCAGTTTTTCCTACCAAAAAACAGGGAAATCCTAGATTGTAATAAGAAAACTAAAAAAACAACACTCATATTGTGGATTTTGTTTTGTTCACTTTTATTGAAAGAAATAACTGTATGAAACTTTCACATATTTTATGTATTACCTTCAATGATGTGTCTTCTCTGTATGATTTCATGTGATTGACAAATTTTCTCTGAAAGTACAAATACTGGTTTCTGAACATTAATATAGACCCCATTCGTTAGCATCAATTCTCGGTGTGTAAATCCAAAGGTACCAATGTTTGAAAACCTAACAGACTTTCGGATTTTATTCGAAAATATAAAAAAATTACTTTTAGCGTTAAAAGTTTTTTCTTCAAGTATGTACAAACATGCTGCCAAATTTCTTGATCTTACCAACATATTTTCACAACTTTTGTCTTACCTCGTATGAACACTAGTGGTTGACATTCGTCCAACATATCTGAATTAATTTAGTACCCTCATCCGTTGTGACACTAAAAGGTGAAGGTCATACAGCTTATAAGTAAAAACAAAACGTTAATAATATCAGATATCCTTTCAGGAGCTAATTGTAATTCTTTGCCACCGTTGACGTTTCTTCATCTTCATCAGGTCGCTTCTTGATCAATCCTGCCACCTTCTGTTGTAACTTTTATTGACTACCAGCTCTAATGTAGTATTAACTAAACAATGGCGCTGTTAAGATAAGTGATTTTACAGGGTTAATGCACGCCATTATTCTTCACTCAACATTGGATGCTGATCTTACTGTCTAAATCGTCTTTTCGGACTGAATGTACAAGCTGCAGCATCCATCTGAAACTCTGTCATGCTACTTGTGTTTGTCCATTCACCATCTCTAGTTAGTTAAGCGATCATCACCTCTCTACGTTTCTGATCACGAAATATATCTCGTGTCCTGGACAGTAAATTTGTTGTTTTTACTTATCTTTGATCTAAGAGGTATAAGTAATTGGGGATCTGAGGGACTCACACTTGAGTTGGTTAACTGCGTATCTTGCGAAACAGCCTACACACTTCATCTCTAAAAGCGCCGCCGAAATCGAAGTTAGCTGTTCCAGTGTTGGTCCGTATCTCTACAGTGTTTCAGAGAAAATCATGGCAATAAAAAAAATAACCTACTGCTTCCTCAACATCCGATACTGTGTGCTGACCTGTTACTTTAGCTGGGCTGATGGGGTGTTGTAAAGCGCTCACCCCTTTTGATACCCTGAAGTGTTACATTCCGTTGTTCATGCATGAAACAACAAAAAGCACATCCGTATCGCGGGTTGATATATGCATACTACAATCACTATGATAATGTTTACTCTTCTAAAATAAGTTCAGGTTGACCATGACACTACTAGTAAGCCGGGTCGGTTTTCTACGAAAATTCAGAAACGTTAAGAAACAAATGTACCGGTAGTCCTGCACCGTAAAGACTAAGTAATAACGTTTCTTTGCTTCAAATTTTACACCCTTAGATTTGATACTTTGTATGTCCCCCCTTTGCATAGTTTGATTACACCTTTTCTGTCCGTAGGTTGAAAACAGTAGTGCTTTCCTGAACCACGTATTGTGTCGACAACTAAGATTCGGAAGACCTGTCAGTAGGAGAGTATGATTGGAAATAGGTTCAGGTCAGATTTACTTCTGTTCTTTGGTAAACATTTAAATCTCTTCAGTAGAAAATTTATACGAATTTTGGTCCACAGTTGAAAACTATTGAACATAGTGGCTTAAATGTTGGCTTATGCCTATTCCACTATCCACAGAAGCCAGAAACAGCTTCGAAGAAAGTCAACTCCAGGAAAAACGCAATGGTTGCCTGAAAGGTGGTTACATCAGTTAAGGAAATTGCCAAAACACTACTATTCTACTAATCATATATCACCACTGCACCCAATACACGAGTCACTTGAATCTGTCAAACGCTTACGCTCTCGAAACAACCTCGACTTGGAGTTAAGTGCACTTGGGAGTACCTTCAAAGTTGGTGATCATACGACACATTATAAAGCGAATGAAGCCGACAGGGAACATCACCTGCGTACCTTACCACAAAGTAATCTGCAATAAGCCCGCCACGTTCTCTGAACTTCTGAGTGAGTCGTTTACGAACTTTAGTTTAGAAACCAACACCCCTTGTGAAACTGCTCATCTAACCAGATCCTCTCTTCCGAGAATAGTGCTCGCGGGTCAGTTACTGGCACAAACTGTGAGAAGCTTAGGATCTTCTACCGGCACGGGATCATATGACCCTGCTGCAACAATTTTCAAAATAGGGTGCGATATTCCTTTATTACTTCTTAATTTCTCCTTAAAAGTTGTGGGCATTGCCACTTACCATAATGAGTATCTCACAGTATTCTCTTTGAGAAGCTGTACTCATGTGGAATTCGCAAACCATTACTGAACTGGTCAGAATCATTTCTAAGCAACAGAGTACAAATAACCGAAGTCGGGTCAGTATCGTCTCATCCCAGACAGATTACACCTGAGGTTGTGCGAGGTAGTGTCCTAGGTCCACTTTTATATACAGTCTACATTAACAGTACTCTTAACCGCTCCGCCTCAGGTAATCCATTCCCATATGCCGACAACCTCAAAGTCGTTTGCCCCTGCTACACTAATTAATTTAACGATATAGTATATTCTGTGAAGTAACCATGATTATTTTGGTACACCAACTAATCCTGTTATGCTAACTTTTGTATTATGTGTGAGCTAATATTATTGTCCTGTGTAGAAATGTCTATCATATACTTCCAATAATATTAACATTTGTAGTTGTGGTTTGTTGTAACTACACGTTTAATGGACTTAAAATATCTATCTAGGGTGAAAAAGAGGGTGTAAGAGTCAGACGTAGAAGTGCATTGTCATCTTTGAGCAGTCTGGTGACTAAGGAGATGAACACTGGAAGTCTGTTTGCATTAGCTGGTAGTCTATTCCAAATGACTGAAAACTTATTTAAGAAGAAGTTGTACCGCACGTAAGTCTGACAGTGCTCTATAGCAGCTAGGTTGTGATGATTTCTAAGATTGTAACTGATGACAGTGGTAGGTTTAGTTATTGGCTCGGAGGAATGCAAGAGAAGATTAGTTATCTTATAGTAAAAGATAAGGTTTAGCTTAAGACGTCTTTTCCAGAGTGATTCTAATCTTAGTCTGTCGCATCGCTCATAGTATTCCAGACTATTTTCTACACCAAGAGTTCTTGAGGTAAACTGCCGTTGCACTCCCTCTGATTTAGGCTTGTCATTTTGTCTGAGTCCGCTGAAATATATGCATATAACATTAATGTCCTTTTTATGTTCACATACTTTCTCTTTCTGGTATTCCGCTGCTGCGTATAATCTTCTGTTTATCTTCTGGTCGAGGTCGAACGACTCTGCATCTAAACTGAATTGGAGATGGATTCCAAACCATTTAACTCATAACCACTCAAATTCCATGAACGATCCAATTCTACCATTTGAAGACGCTGGCGAACATGCTGTAAATGAGTATTCATGATCTGAAATGAAGAAGCAACTGGTTTTCAAACAGTTTTCAACATTTTACTCAACTTACGTGTACAGTCCGCGATGCAGGCACAAATGGCGCAAATGGAGAATTCTGGAATCGACCTCGGCCCCATTTGATGCAGCAAAACAACTTCACATGACCTTATCTAGTTTTCGCATCCATGATCAAGTTTCTTTCCTGTTATAAAACTACGATGAGACTGCTGAAATAATGGAATAAATATATCACTGATCTCAACATAAAACATCAATAAACTTTAAGCCAAGGGTGCTGTTCATAACAAAGTTATATAGGAGAATTGACTTCAAGCCTTTTTTCCCAGATATTTGTGTTACATTCATCTGATGTCTGGGTTTTCGTTAATGCGAAGAAAATATTTCTATATCTCTTAATGTGCTACACAAACAGACTTTATAGCAGACTGTTTCGACTGACTCTAATATCAGAAAGAACAACGAAACTGTTAGTACATCAAACATGAAATCATGTGTAATTTATATAATAACTTATCCATGCCTGTACAATAGGTATGTTCCTGCATAAACAGGAAGAAATATATATCATTAATTCTTAGACCCTGTGTATAACAACCTCATTGTTGGTTACATATTGGCGTAAGAATAAATGGCAAGGTAAACTTTCGACACCACTAGCAACCAATCAGCAAACGATCTTGAACGGACCAATCACATTAAATAGGCATATATGATGTATGGAAACGCATATTTATTGAAAAAAGCATAAGGAAGGATGAAACGGTTACAAGGAGTATCTTTCTCGAATATGTGAGAGAAACATCCCCGCAGTTCAGCATGCTACTGTCAATGGAGAAGTCACAGCACATCCTGTACTTATATTCATCTGAACGGCTGTAAATGAGATCCTTTTCAGATCCATTTATGGCCCTTATCTTGTTTTTCAAGCGGCCCCGAAAACCTTCAGTGGAATTCGTATGAGTCCTCGTAACTGGATTCACACAGCAAACAAGTGATTGTCTCTGTTTTATACGAAGCAATATCTCTGCAATGCTGGTACCACTAAACTGTTGAGACAAGACTATTCGCAGTCTCGGCAGCTGCTGCTCTCACCGGCTGTTTCAACACCCAGTAATTGCAGATACACAAAATCTGGGTTAGGGAGAGATGTGACCTAGCGGAAAAATTTCCCACGAAATATTAAAATTATCAGCTTACCCTCTCTCATATTAGCATGCTTCAAACACAGCACAACGATGAACAAACCCACCAGTTGATCTGCTATAGCTTTATAAAGTCATGATACCTACACAAGAACAAATTCGCCCCTTCCGGAGCAATTTAAATTCAGGCAATACTGAAAAACACTAACCTCCTCAAATTGCAGCCGTAACCTTGTAAGGTCACGCATTAGAAATGAATCAAGCGCTTTACAACATTGAACTACGTTCGTGAATCTCATTGGATAATTCGACATCGTTCGTAAATCTCATTGGATAATTGGCTGATAGGTAGTTAGTGGTGTCGAAAGTTTAACTTCGCCGAATAAATGATTCTCGAGTTGTCAATCAGTGTTCTGGTTTTCGCGCCGGCCAATACAAAGTGTTTCTGAAAATCTTCGAAGGACAGCGTGGGGTCCAGCGTAGCAAGAGCTGGACATTGACAGTTTATTTCTTTCTGAGACTGGCGTCCCTTAATGCGCCGTTCTTTCTCTTTTTCTGATTTCTTTCTGCCTTCATGACTTGCCTCGCTCCAATGAAATTGACTTTACCAAAAATGCGGAAGATCTAACTGCTTCAAGGCATGTTATCTCTCAGTTAGACTGTACTATGATGGATAGCTTTCTATCAGATGTTAGCAAATGATCCTTGTCTAATGGTCTTCAACTAATCCTTCCGAAGATCAGATTGTTAATTGCAGGTTCCGATTTAAATGGAAGTTAAATGATGATGTTAATTCCTGTGACCGTTACGAAATTGGTGTTAGCGATTTGGAAATCAAGTTTGACGTTAAGTGTCTTAAGCTTTTTCTTTCTTCTGATCTGTCCTGGTATGCTCATGTCTTAGTATTTTCTAAGAAATATTTTATCTGCCTTTATACATCAAG